ATTTAGAATGCTGAGCAGGAGTTTTGGAAAAGAAATCGGGTTTTCCCCCAAGCCTGTTAAACAAATCTATTGATAGAGGAAAGTCATTAATACAAAAAAAAAGCATCTTCTTTTTTTCAAGCATAAACAATTCCAGTACTCTTTGATTACACTTAGACTGTATTTTTACTGAAGTCTTTTACAATCTTTTCTGTTACTTTGGCTTAAGCGTGAAAGTTGAGACATGCTGCTTACATATTTACAAATCTATAATCTCTTAATTCCCTCAGTGCAATATCTTTAGATAGTTTCTCAGTAATGTGTTTTACCTTAGATTGCCTCTTTCATATATATTTAGGAGGAAGATTAGATGAATGTATCACTAAAGGAAAGCCTATTCCTAGTCTGAAGATATAGGTGAGATTCATTCTATTTGTATGGTTTAGCCCAAATGACACATTATTTTTGTGAACAGATGCAACTTGGTATGTTTGACTGAAACCAGAAGGCATGCCTAAGTCACGCTGTGAAATACCCTTTATATCTAAAGATGTGCTTCTTGGTTTGTAAACTTTATGTGGTAGATTAATGGTCAGGGCATGTAATACGACATACCGTTCTTCTGGTAACACTCTGAAGGTTGGAAGAAGCATCTGCCAGCACTCAAGTTTATTCTAGGACCAGATTCATTTGCCTACATGAAGAAGGGCCCTTGTGTCCATGTGTAGTGCAAATTAAGCTAATACAGAATTCCATGAAGGTTTTATATATATATGGAAAAAAAAAAATTAAACACTTTCTTGCAGTGCCTGCAATCCAGGCAGGCAACAGCGATGTAAGAAAAAGATAGTGAAAGGGAATACAAATGGCTGGGATAAACGTTCATGGACTTTGAACCTCCAGGAGTAACTGACCTTGTACATGGGGTATGTCTGTAGCAGTGAGTTAGATTTTTCAAAACAATAGTACAGAGAGATGAAAGTATATATACTCAGTAAAACCCCCTGCCTATAATATTAACATAGAATCTATGACTAAAATATAGATTTTTAAAACTGCTTTTAATATTTGTACACACCTATTTTTCCACTTAACATGCGTAAAGAAAATCAATGAGGCAGTTGCACTTTTCTTCAGCCGATTTCCATTCGAGCACTTTAATACTACCCTAGGCCTACTGCAGTGGTCGGGGGTTACTGATTTTATTTTTTCGGGTTTTCAGTCCAGGATGAGCTTTAAACTGAAAACGCTTAGACCTGGCTCATTACCAAGCCCGGATCATTACAGAGCCGCCAAGGTGGATCGAAGTGCTGGGACGCGGCTCCGTCAATACCGCAGCGCCTTGCAAGTTAGGGATTTCTGCCTCCTCCACCCTCCCTAGCAAACCAAGAGGGACGCCCGCTCGGCTCGACCCCGCTCCGCCGGGACGGGGGC